CAGTTTGTTGCCGGTAAGATATACTCGTCCCATTTATAATATTTTTCTTACTCATATTATATAATAAACTTGATAGATAAATTTATTTAGTAATTAACAGTTATATTACTTTTTAATTAAGATATATTAGACAATTTAATTTTTGTTTGTAAAGATATATATACATAGTTTTTTTTTTTATATATGCAATATTGATATCAAATGATAAATCGTCAAAAAAATGATTAACTTGATATTATCATATCAAAAACCGGTAAGAAATAATAGAAAGCTATTAAGTGTTTAAAATATATTTGTAATTTACGTTGATAAAGTACTTTATAATTTTAAAAGTCCAAATTGGTATGTATAAAAGTTCAAATCTACACGACAATTCCAAAGCACCAAGATTTAACACATACATTATGAAGCATGAGAAATTGAGATATAAAACTACAAAGCACCAAAAGTTGATAAATAGGTTGGGGAAGCTCTATATTTATATATAAGAGGAATGTATTGTTTCCTAAACATTTTAAAATTAATCGATCCTTCTTTAATTCATACTAGTAAAATACCGTGTATTATACGAGTACTTGTTAACAAAACTATTCTTAGTTTAAAATTTACGAAAAAAATTGTTTTAAAATTTAATAGTTTCTATAAAAAAATACATATTATTATATAATATAAAATAACACCTGTTAGTTATGCGACTGTCCAGTTTATATTATAATAATTTTTTTAACTTCTACCATATCCCCTCTATATATAATTTCAGAATGCGCTGAGCTTACGTTGCAAACTCTCATGCTTCAGAATTCTATCTGACAAAAAATCATTGTTTTGGAGTTAGACTTGGATATAAATTAATATTTGTATTAATTGTATTTTAATTTTAATATCATTTACTATTATAACTATTAAATTGCAAATATATTTTAAAAGTTGATAACTTTTGTATTTCTTATCGGTTTTACATATATAATATATCAAATTAATCATCTTTTGATGAGCTTCGATTTGACATCCATATTGTATATATAAACTAAATAAATTATATTTATCTTTATAATAATAATAAAATTATTTATTAAAATCCCTCCTTAATATAATTTCAAATAATGGATAAAGAAAATGCAAAACTTATTAGACACATTAGAATGGCGAAAATGAAAGAAAAGCGTGGACTATTGTTTCGGGTGAGTATATTTTATAGAATTTACTTTTAAATTTTGTATTATATATAATATATGCAACTTACATAATTATAAATTAATTATTAGATTAAAGGATAATATTTTATTTATGTAAAATGCAAACAGGATATATTTCTTTGATTTTTTTTTTATATATTCGATGTCAGACACTCCATCCAGTCAAACAAGAAAGTTCATAAAGTCCATTATAGATGCAAGGCGACAAAACGGCATTCAGTGTACATAATTGATTTTTTAAATGCAATAAAATGCTCTGGAGTTCCTAATCACATGTTAAAATTGAAAGTTGGTATTCATGTAATGCTGCTTTGAAACATGGATCAATCTTATGGATTGTGTAATGGTACCAGGTGAGTGATCACTCGACTATTCTTTTTTTNCCTATGGAAAAATTGTAATTAAAACTATTAATGTAGTGTATAAAGAAATTTTTCAAAATTTAAAATAATATTGACTTTGGTATTTTCTATTTTGCACTTTTATACGGCAGCATGTGTTTTTTCTATTATTTTATCTCATATTTTTTTTACAAACAACCCGTATAGTACACGGGTGTCGTACTAGTAACTATTTTAAACATAAATATATTAATTGATAAAAAAAAATATTTTTCTAGTCAATTTTAGTAAATATTATTATTATCAAGATTATTATGATACATAGTAACTATTTTAAACATAAATATATTAATTGATAAAACAAATTATTTTTCTAGTTAATTTTAGTAAATATTATTATTATCAAGATTATTATGATACATACAGTATGATGATGTGGTGAATCACTAACGTGGATTTTCTGTTTTGAGCCTAGTTTAGCTGATATGAATATATTTCACATATTCCATAAAGCTTTTCAAACGGGCATGATATTACTTAACAATATGAACAAAAATGTGTACGAAACTTTGTAAAAACATAGTACATGCAAGACGAGCAATTAATTTATCAGTCAACGAAGCAAAAATAACTCGGATATCAACCAAAAAACTTTTAAAACATTCAGTCATATTTTATGCTCAACTCGCATAAAAACCAAAAATGCACAATTCTACTCCTAAAACACCCCTGCAGAAGAGATCAAGCACGTATTCTTTGCATATCGTTCAGAAAGCAAGCATTCATGTCCGGAGCTTAGACTTCCTACAGCCGATCAACACCAACAAAACTAAGTCCAACGGACAAATGCTTACTGAACAAAGCTCAAACAAATTTTGCATTACAATAAATTGCCACTTCCAGAAAATGCATCAGAGTAATAACCAAACAATGGCATTTAAAACACAGATCCACACAATTACTGCTTGAAAAAAAGTGCAAAAACCAACTAAACATAAACATAATAAAAGAGGTAAACAACAGTCAAATGAGCAGTAGCACAAAAATGAAAAAAAGTTCCTTGTCCACAGAAATATTTGATTGCTTATGGTCTCTTACAAACTATTCTTGAAACAAAAATGAAATAGGAACCCAACACCTTAAAAGATGCGCTGTGGCTTTCCCATTGTGCTCTTCAAGTACAAGCACCTCACCTGAACAAAAAGGAAAAGATTAAATGATAGAATATCTCATAACATATAATGGATAGCTACCAACAAAAAAAGTTACAAGGTGTGTTGCATGTCAGAATATACAAAAAGAAAAAAGGAAAACTGAAAAAGTCAATGGACATTGTAAGATGCAACTCAATACCAAACGAATTGATACAGTAAAATAAATCATGCTTACATTCTGCCAATTCTTTTTCAGAAGAGAAACCAGGAAGTTGACGCTCATTTGCACATTTTGGAAGATCTGCTTCTCCTCCATGTCGAGGTTTCCTACAGCTACGCCCATGCAGAGCACCTTCTTCAACTGGAACTTCACCATAGCCTTTGTCTCGTTCACCTTCGACTCAAGTGACTCCTGGTGAGTGACAAGAGTGGGGAACTTGCCTGTATACCAAGAAAAATATTTATGGCGAAAACGCAACAAGGGGCGAAAAAAAGTCATCTCTACATCATTATCATTACATATCATGACAACCTAACAAGCTAACTTGTCTATGTAAGTCAAGTCCACAAAATCTGTTGCAAAATTTCAACATAAATAGATCTTACAATGAATTAGTAAGACATCTCAATTTAATCTCGTCAACATGATCAGCCACATAAGTATGTGGGGACAGGATTTATATATTTCAATGAGCATCGATAAAAGAAAAGGACAAAAGTCCTCCTTAAGATAGCCAAAAGTTACTTGCCTGCCTTGTTAAGTCCTGGTCCCAAGAGACGGGGAATTTGCTTGATAACGGCTTCTGAGGCTAAGAAAGCATGATACTTCTTAGCAAGCTTCTTCACCAGCTTCTTGTTTTTGTTCAATTTCTTCAGGGCCTCAACATCCATCGACTCGAGCCCAATCTTTTCTGCCTGCCGAAATAAAAGCACATCACATTAGAGGACTAATTAAACTGAAGGAAGTTATCACAAAGACACATGGCAACTGCAAGCATTCAGAAGCACAAATATTCAACATGCATTATATATTGCAAAATCGTTATATTATGTAGTCATTCAACCAAGCATTTCATAACATTAATGAATTAAAAAAAATCAGAAACACAGAAAGTTCTGGTAAAAGATTACAACATGCTAATCTTCGGGACAGTATCACACAAATGTTAAGTCATATATAACAGATTCAATATTCCATTGTTAAGTCAAAACACCACTTTCCAAACAAGTGCTGATCTCTCAAACATTATTCTACAAATGGTGCATAGCAAGGATTAAGAGGTATACCTCTTCAACATGCTGGGCATCACCAAGCATGCAGATCTTCATTTTCGGTCGAGGGATGTGAGGCAACTTCACTGAACCACTGAAACGCTTGTCCTTCTGAGGGTCATAGTTCTTGAGGCCAATCTGGAGCTCTATTGTTTCAGTGAAATTTCTCTTCTTCTCCTTACATTCAGCTGTTATCACCGAAATGGCTTCCCTAAGGGCCTCACTCTGAAGCTTACTGTGGACAATGCAATCAGATCTCATGAGTGGCTGATACAAATTCCAAGAGTAATATGGAGGTTGAACATAAAGCTGAATCTTTCTCTCCAGATAAATACATTTCATTTTACCGGAGAAAAAAAAGGAAGATCAACATAATAACTCAGTAGATTTAACTGAAAAGGTGTAAACATTGATTTCCCCACAACTGTTAATTATACGATTGATTCAAATCGCAAAATCGAATAACTAATAACAGGACTACGAAGATAAGAACAAGTTGAACCAGAAAAAAACGCCTGAGACGCAATCTGTCATTTGGATTACAACGGATTCAGAACTTACCTCATGGTTAAAGTCTTGTTTCTTCCCGAACTCGATTCTGCTTCACAGAAAATTTCCAGCACACAATAAAACTATTTAATGAGTTTAACAATAATGAATCATAAATATAAATACAAAATGTAGAAGAACATAACGAAGAATACAATGGAGGCGCAATGCGCAAAGTAGAATAGCAGACCTGATGAGAACACCGGGACAGAGGCTGGAGTGAAAGGGGAAAACGATTAAATATAATATTTGCACCCAAACCCTAGAACGAGTAACCAATTTTGCTATTGGTCTGGGCTGGAAGCTGTGTAAGCCCATTGAAGTGAACTTTGACTCATTTGGCATTTGGGCTCTATTTTGTTGGGCTTATGATTTGATATGTTTGCAAAAGGGAAATTTGCACCTCTTACCATCAGATATGATTGATATTACACTATACCCATTGTATTCTTAATTATTAAATTACTAAACAAAGCCATAAATATTACAATTATATCTAAAATTTGTTATTAATGAAACCCCGCAGAAAAAAACCACCAGCCTCCTAGGTCACGGAAAGCAAAAAAGTCATGGCCGAAATCCCTCGATTCCTTCACCTTTAAGCTTCAAACTTCGATTAAAGTATTCCCTATTAAAGAATAGCCGATTCCAACCACGTTTTCCGTTGTTCGATTCGTTAGTTTTTTATTCGAATTGGGAATTTCGCGACGGTTATATAGGTGATGGAAGCCGACGGACTGCGGCAGTTCCTGGCGGAGATGCAGGGGGAAGCGAACTCGACGGTGGAGGGCGCGCAGGGCTTCATCGACGGGCTCAAGCACGCACACTTGTTTCATAGGCGGGGGATGAATCTGGAGGTGTTCTTCAAGTACTTGTTTGGGGATGCTAACCTCCGTTGGATCCAAAAATCGGGTTAATTTTTCATTGTTACTGTTATCGAGAGCACCATTTATCATGACAGAGTTGGGATAACTGTGTAAGTGTTTGTGTCTTGTCTGTGCAGACTGTTTGTATCTTATAACTGAGGATACATGTTGAATTCTTGTTCATTAATAGAATGTAGGAAAAATTTCTTCCGACTGTATTGCTTTTGTACTTTATAGCGCTTTTTATAAAAATTGATCCCCATTCTATTAAACTTCTGGCAGCACTTATGTTTGATCCCCATATCTATAGTATATGCACAGTATATGATCGCGGCAGTATATGTTGCGTGTATAGGCATGCGGTATATGGTCACAGCAGTATATGTTGCGTATATAGGCATACAGTATATGTGGTGTGTATAGGGAGTATATGTTCAGTATATTAGAATTCATGGTCAAAAATATTTTTAGTCAGCTTGGTCATCTCTTCTTTTTGTTGTTTGGACTGTATGCTTCCAATCGTGAGTGGTCTAATACTTGGAATCTTGCCTAATATAGGCATTTGCTTCTGTGCTGTTGTAGCGGGTGATTGTGTCTTTCCTGCATAACTTGCTTTGAACTGAGCTAGCGCTTCTTTTGCTTCGAACAGACTGGAGAATTTTTTATGTATAACATTCTGCCCTGTTATGAACATGGCTGCTTGACTCCATTGCGAAAATATCCCTTGATTAGGACCTGTAAATATTACATAATGGGTTTTTGTTCTTTCTTCCTCATCAAAATGAGGTTTTTCTTTTTCTTCCCCATTTATTTCTTTTTCTTTTGATGTTTCTGCCTTTTCATTTTTCTTTTCTTCTTTGCCTTTTTCTGCAAATAGTATGGCTTTTATATAGCTGATTTCTTTTTCCTTTTTCTTTATCTGCTCAAAGAGCTCTTCTACCTGCTTTTCCAGCATTTTTAGACTATCTTCTAAGACTGGTTTGAGTGCTTCCATTTAATGTATATGCTAAATAGTTTTCTTTTCCTGAAATATATACAGATATGTAATCAAACTGTTGTGCTTTCAAACTCCATCTTAAAAGTTTGCCTTTGTTGTAAGATTCTTTTATTCGATATTTTGTAAAATCTTTTGTATACAAACTATCAATTTGAAAAATGAATTTAACTGGTTGTAAATCAAGTTTAAATTTTTCCAAAGCATTTATAAAAGCTAATATTTCTTTTTCATGTGTTGTATAGTTGCGTTCTGCTTGCTTAAACGTTCCTGATACCCATTTGGATAACAGTAAATGCTTGTCATTGGTTTTACCCAATACTAATTGCATAGAATCATTAGATTCACTATCTTCATCCAAACTATCTTTAGTCATCCTTCGTATAAAGTATTTGACTTCAGATGGTTTGTTGTTTGCAATAAATTTATTAAACTCTTTATATGCATCTGGGATTGCTTGAAGGACTGCTCCCCAAGTATCCTGACTTGCATCAGTGTTTAAAATAAGTAAATCACTAGGCTTTGGTAGGTAAAGTCGTGGTAATTGAGTACATAGTCTTTTCAAGGACTGTACTGCTCTAGTTGCATTGTCTGTCCATTTCCATGGTACTTTTTCTGAAATCATTTTTTGTATTAACTCTTTTTCTTTGGCAAGACTTTTTATAAAACATTTTTCTCCAATATATGTTAAACATCCAAGAAATTTTTGAGTTTGATTTCTGTTTTGAAGCTGATCTGGAAACTGATGTATTTTTCAAGTAAATGTTTTTTAGGTTCGATATAGCCTCCCTCGACTATTTTCATTCCCAAAAATTCTGTTTCTGTTTTGCAAATTTTTGCTTTTCCTTACTTAAAATAATTCCTTTATTACCTAACTGTATTAAAACTTTTGCAAGCTCTTTTAAATGATCTTCTTTTTATCGTTGTGTAAAAACAATTATATCATCTATATAGGCAAGACTTATTGGTTCTAATCTCTTAAGATTATTATCCATAAATTGTTGATATATGTTGAGTGCTTTTTTAAGTCCAAATGGCATTACATTATATTTATAGTGATTTTGAGGTGGACAACTAAATGCTGTTAAGGGTTTAGTTTCTTCATGTAACCTTAACTGTCAATATCCTGATTTAGCATTTAATGTACTATAGCAATTTGCCTTTTTAATCCGACTAAAAATATAATCTTATCTTGGCAACTTATATGCATCTCCTTTAGTGGCCTTATTCATTTCTTTGTAATTTATAACCATTCTTCGTTTTCCTCTTTTTAATTCATTATGATTTTCTACATAAAATGCTGGTGCACTATGTGGACTTGTACTAGGTTGTATAATATCATTTTCTAACATTTTAGTAGTTTCTTCTTGAAATTCTTTAACATCTCTTTCTGCATATGGTATCCTATTTGGCACATTGACTTCTTTGCTAGGATCTATAAGTTCTATTTTTACTGTCATATTATTCGTGTTTTTATTTGGATCCAATGGATTTTGACTACATATATTTTCTAATAATTGATTAACATGTTCTTCTAAAGTTATACTTATTGCTTTATAAATTTGAAATGAAACTTTTCTCACTATCTCCCCCCTTATGAAAGAAGATGTATTGTATATTTTCGTAGTAATAATTTTACTAGACTGCGTATCTAGTTGTGCACATCTAAGACTTATACTATTTAATCTTTGAATAAATGGACTGTATAACTTAAGAAAGTTATTTCAGATTATTAATGGTAATCCTGTATTTTGTTTATAAAGACTTGGTAAAGGAACTCGTTTTTCTTCTATTAATAATACTAAGTTTGTTGCTCTTTAATCAATACTTATTGTTTTGTTATTTGCAATTCTTACTGTAATTGGTTTATCTATTTTCTTCCAATATTTACTAGGTAATATGGATTCCTTTGCTAGACATGTTGTTGCTCATGTGTCTATATATGCTAGTAGAAATTTATTAAATAATTTAACTTTTATAAATGAACTGTTCTTACTCATCTTCTGTTTCAGATGTTTCTGAATCACTATTTGTTTCTGATTCTAAATCATAGATGTCAAAGTCTAATAGTTCGCCTTCTTCATATTCTTCTTCTATAGGTTCATAATTCTGATTCTAAATCATAGATGTCAAAGTCTAATAGTTCGCCTTCTTCATATTCTTATTCTATAGGTTCATAACCTAAAGAAAATATCATTTTTAACTTCTTTTCTTTTTCTGACATGCTTTTAGGACATTCATTTGCATAGTGCCTTATTTCTTGACATTTCCAACATCTGCAATTCTTTTTTCCTTTAGGACAATATTTAGGTTTTCCTAAATATTTTCCTTGTTTTCTAAATTTGCCTTTATATATTGGTTTCCATGGTTTTCTAAATGTCTTATATCTTCTTGGTCTATATCGTTTATTAAACTTGTTGTATTTATAATATCTTTTATTTTTATATGGGTTATAACAACCAAATTCTTGAGGTACGCTTTCTAATTGCTTACAACATCTTGGATTAATTTTAGTCATTTCGTGGTGTTCTAATTTTCTTATACAAAGTTCATCTCTATATTCTTTTGCATATTTTTCTAAAATTCGTAGAGTTTTTTCTTCTTTTGTTTCACTAATTTTCTTCTAAATATATTTATTCATCTCATTTTTAAGTTTACTTTCAACTATTTCTATTAGTCCTGATCGGTCCTTACTTTTATAGAAATTTTCTCTTACTTGACAGAAAAAATTTTCTATGTAGCATATATTGCATAGTTTCATATTTGTTAGAAATCTAACTACCTTTTCTTTTTGTGTTTCTTTTGATTCTTGTCCTGTAATTCCTAAAAATTCTTTTAACAAATCTTTTGCTAATTTTTTTAAAGCTCCTATTTTATATTCTGCTCCTGTTTCTGAACCGTTGGCTTCAAGATTTAATAATATTTGAGTGTTTTCTAGATAATCAAATAATACTCAAGATGTTTTATATCTTATATAATTAACAAAATCGATTAATGTCATTCCATTTATCATTGAATCATTAGTTTGAACTAATAATTTTAATTGATTAGTCCAAGTGACTATTAAGTCTTCTGCATTGGTTGCACAATCTATATTTAATATTCCATTAGATAAATTTTCTTTCTTTTTCTAAATATGTTGGTGGAATATTTTTCTTTATTTTTTCTTGATGATAACTGTAATTATTTCTATATATAAAATCTCTAAAACTGCTTTCTACATAATTATTTTGGGAACTAGATGCTTCATTATTATTTGTTCTTGGTCGTTTTGGTGATAATAACGGTGTTGTATGAGGTTTTTGATCAGTCATATTAATGTCGGTTCATCTTCATCTTCGCTATCTATTCCATAAATTATTCCTTGTTTATCCTCATCATCTATTTTTGTCATTCTAGTTTTTTCAATATTATATTTTCTAATAACTGAGTTAATCTATCTATATCATCCATTAGAACTTGTTGGTGGTTCTATCTGAATCGGC